CGAAAATTTTTTTTTGTTGTTTATTATTAGCAATGTTCTTCCGACATCTGATTTCTTTTTAAAAAATGCGTTTCTAAAGTGCATAAACTTTTGGGATTGACTGTATAGCCAATACATCATTAAACAAGATCATGGTGATCCTATACAATTCTGAACTTTTTTGTCAATGGAAGGTATCTACTGGTTTCTTGATTTTTCCCATTTTTTCCTACAGAAGACATTTAACCAACTTTCATAAGCAGTCATCGAGAAATGTATCGTGAAAACGTATGATGTGAATAAGTGCCTAAACGTATTGAACATGCGTAGAATCAGTCGTTGTTAGGCGTCGACGATAGAGCTGATTATACGCTCTATGACGTCGACAGGAAATTCCATCACAAGAATTCTTATTGGACATTCTTAAAATAATAATGTATTTCTTGATGAAACTGGCATTTACTAAGATATTTTCGGGTCGCCAGAGGTCCACGAATTCCTCTCAAGTTATCAAAGACTATCGATACGATAAGTAAAGTAATAGGAGGATAAAATCGATTGGAAAGAGGATAGAGGAAAGAAAGCCGGATTCATCGATGGGAAATTGAACCGAAAAAACGTGAGACAGAGATATCTGGAGAGGAACGTAATAGAGAGGAAAGTCTTTCGTGTTTGACGATGGAGATTTCTACTGCGACCGCACTTTTCTACCATCATCAAAATGAAGAGAAACTAAAATACGAATAAAGACAGAATGAAGTACAAAAATTGCATTCATATGTCGATTCGTTTGATTTTATTCGATTCCTTTGAAATAACCCCCAAGGGCACATAGTATCTATCGAAACATCAACTCTGCTTCCATTCTTAAAAACGTAGAATGTCTCGTTTATGAAATAGGAATGAACCTTTTAACATCAACAGGAGTCACGGTAGAAGACACATTGCAAAAGTAAAATTCATTTAAAGTGCTAACTAAAGATATAAATAATTCTGTGTATATCTACTTTATCTATCTATTTATAACAAATGATTCCAGAATGCAATTAAAAAGTTTCATGCGATTCCATTTTCTAGGTATCGTTTCCTATTTACTTGTTATCAATTATTTTTCAAACATGATTTCCCACTTAATTCAGATGCAAAGCGTTTAAATTCTTAAGGTGATCATACATTAATAAATGTGACAAGTTTTCTTAATCGCCCGTCATGTGCAAATAAATGATCATCCTTTAAAGGTGAAACTTTTATTGGCAGAGTTTTGCTCTTCAGCGTAGATTATGCGATACTTCGTCAAGAAGCACTGCAGCGCATGGAAGGAAATTTAAGCTTGAAAATAACAGACAGGAAGAAAAATGGTAGGACGTACGTGCCGCGCTTGCAACGAGAATTGCAAACCGATTTTTTCACAGAACAATTTGCATGGAAGAATACGATACTGTACGCTTATATTCAAACAGCTTCCTATTGTATTTCAATCGAACATCTCACCGTTATTTCTTTTTATTATTTGAGAAACAACGGATGTGCATACGTAGAATAAAAATTGATAACAGAGGAATAAGAAATATTTTATAAAATAATAGAGAAATAAGGCGCATGTGAAAATCTCGTTCTTCAAAAGGAATTAATTGTATTTAAGAGTCTAAAGGAAAGGAACGATTAAAAATACCAAAAGGGGAAAAGAAAAACGACAATTATATTACTCAGATCCCTAAAGTTTTCTTACGAGATTCTCGTCTAATTATTAGACATTCTTGTACCGGTAATTAACATTACTCTCGTATTTGTATGTTTCAGGATGTATTATATTCGGGTCAGATCAAGAAGTTGCCGGAGTTATGAGGGCCGTTAGACGTTGCAATGCGACTGGTGCATTTTCGTGGATCGGTAGCGACGGATGGAGCGCGAGGGGGTTAGTCAGTAACGGCAACGAACCGGAAGTCGAGGGCACACTATCGGTTCAACCACAGGCCAATCCTGTCAAAGGTTTCGAAGAGTATTTCCTGAATTTGACCGTCGAGAACAACCGAAGGAATCCATGGTTCGTCGGTAAGCGTGCGACCGATACAAATGAGCCTCGTTAAACTTCGCCAATACTAAACTTCGCACGGCCTGCGAGAACCGATCAATCGCCAGACTTATACCCATTAATACCTATGTAGATTAATGCTACACTTCAGCACTCTCCATTTGAAACTAATAGAACAAACATAAACACGTATTTACATAAAGTCAAAGAAATAAAAACTTATCGCTATTTACTGTTTGTAACAGTAAAGCTGCATACAAATTCAATTTCTGTCTTATTTGACAAAAAATACTGGAAAATCTCGTTTGAACAGTAAACTAAATATTTGAAATATTTCACTAGTTCAAATAATAATATAGAAGCAATTTTTTTTGTATGCAATAAATATTATTTCGTATCACAAATCATTTTGGACATAACAGTTCTGGATATATCACGCAATTCATATATTTAACTTCCACAGTCATTAATAATGAGATTATTGTCTAATTTGATTTTAGAATTCTGGGAAGATCATTTCCAATGTAGATATCCAAACGCATCCAGAACACCGTACAACCAAAAGTATACGAAACCTTGCACGACGAAGGAGCGCTTAACGAAACAAAACACAGCGTTCGAAGATCAACTCCAATTTGTTTCTGACGCGGTTATGGCATTCGCTTATGCCTTTCGGTAATCAAAAATTTAAATATATATACATGTATGTATATGACTAAGTGTATAATAAGTATACATATATATGAGTAAATACATGAATAAAAATTAAACATTTTTAAATTCCGCATACTTTTCCCCAAACATAGTAATTTCTGTTGCAGAGACATGCACAGAGATCTTTGCCAAAGTAAACCCGGACTATGCGACGCGATGAAGCCTACCAAGGGTACGGAGCTGCTAAGATATCTTCGGAAAGTAGATTTTGAAGGTGAGGCAAAGGAATTTTATCCGATATATCAAACTAGAATGATCATATTTAGAACTTGTCGAAAATAGTACTGCTAGCAAAACATAGTGCAAAATTTCGGTAACAATTTCGATATCGTGAATATTTAAGGTTTAAGCGGCGACAAGTTCAGATTCGACAAAAACGGAGACGGGCCGGCTCGTTATAATATCATACACTTCAAGCAAGTTGAGCCAGGAAAATACAAGTGGATCCGAGTAGGCAAATATCTCGAGGGTGAATTACGACTGAACATGTCCGGTAAGGCGTAATTTGATCGTCTTGTAAAATTGATATTACTGCGCATAAATGTTTGAACAATTAATGAGAAACAATTATAAAAATTAAAAAGAAACAATGGAGATATATTAAAAATAAAATTAATATCAATCCGTTCTTTCTTAAAGTATGTCGCGCTAAGTATTTTTTCTTTACAATTGCTTTACATTTTCGAACAGCAAATTACTAAACATTTGTTTAAACCTGAGAGTCCAAATACTTATGCAGAATAATGCAAGTACCTATCCCCGATATCAGTTTTTCCTTTACGAAATCGGACGCCTTTGGTGCCGGCTATCTACTCACATATTCCTTACAGAAATTCAATTTAAACTTGGACATCCACAACCACCCGAAAGCGTGTGCTCTCTGCCCTGCGAAGTCGGCCAGGCAAAGAAATACGTCGAGGGCGAGAGATGCTGCTGGCACTGCTTCAATTGCACTCAATATCAGGTTTGCGAGCCCGTTCGGGTGCAATCGTTCAGTCATCTAGCTACTAACTCGAGTTGTTTTTCTGTCGCGCTACCGATGATCGTTTCACCGACTACCTTTTATAACAATCTAGATTGAATTTAAAATATTCAAATCGGTAAAAATATTAGACAATAGAAGATAAAAGGAAACATCAAACAGCTTCTATTG